TTTGAAATTTCTTGGGGCTAGGTGAGCTTGGCACAGCCAGTGCAGAGACTCTGTCTTAAGATGGAGATTTGAGGTGTTCTACGTCAAACTCTCCGTATATCTCTCACCTGTTGGGATATATATATATATATATATATATATATATACATATATACATATATATATCAAGCCCTGCTGTGTAGTAACCTTGTATCACTAATATTCCATTTGGTTTAAATAAGCCATGTAGCTGAACTCATAGTGAAATGTTGAGCAAGCGGCTCTGTTGCTGTGTGGGAGAAATTATTGTTATTATTCAGGCATCTGTGGCAGCCTGTCCTTGGGGTTCTGACAGGATACGCCCTCAGCTGCAGCCACTAAGAGCACCACCTGTGTGCATTTACTATGTTCCTTTTAAAAAGGGCCCTGCTCACCTCCCATCCTTCTCTCTTTATTCTCTTCCTCTGTCTATCTGTCTGTTCCTCTCCCTCTCTCCTCCTCTTTCTTCTCTCCTGATGCTTCTGTCTCCAGAGACTGGTCTTCCCCCTCCCCTTCACCCTTTTTATGATCCCTTTCTCTAATTAAAAAAAAACACCTCTTCTTGAACCCTGTTGTATGGTGTCTTTCTCTCCCCACACTACTTTTTTTTAAATTGCAACACTTACAAAGTTGACATCAGCAGTTCTGGACCTGGATGGGAAAGAATGAAGAACTAGGACAAAGAACTGCATTGTTATATCACACAGGGTGTCTTCTACTACCCCAACACTGTGTAAGATGAACACAACTGTCCCAGCCAGAGAGAGAGAGCATTGCTATATCACACAGGGTGTCTTCTACTACCCCAACACTGTGTAAGATGAGCACAACTGTCCCAGTCAGAGAGAGAGAGAGAGAGAGAGAGAGAGAGAGAGAGAGGATGGAGGGAGGGAGGGAGGGAGAGAGAGAGAGAGAGAGAGAGAGAGAGAGAGAGAGAGAGAGAGAGAGAGAGAGGAGTTGGAGAAAACCAGACTCAAAACCAGCATACCACTTGAGGGATATCTTTCCTTCCAATCTCCCACTGCTCATAATAATGATGAAGAAACAGCACTAGTGATAAAGAAACTGACTGATAATTTCCTAAGCAAAGAAAATGAGAGCAACTAGATGTGCTCTAGAGAAGCCAAGGCAGGAGGATGGGTCACAGGTTTCTTCCAGATGAAATGTGACAGGGCTAAAACCAGACTGTCATGAACAGCGACTGTTCCCACACTGATGACACAGGAGTCCATTGAAAGCAGGAAATTAAACCTGGGCCTAGACATTGAGACCTGGCATTGTGCGGAATCATGCTACACCCACACAAAGATCTCTTAGCATCGATGACCACCTCTGTGGGCAGAGAACTGTTATTGTTATTCTGAAGGTATGATGGAAAATGCACTGTCTCATTGAGCTCCACCAGTAAGCAGGAAGGCATGTGGGTGGTGGCTGAGTCTTCTCATCTAAGCTGCTGGAGAGGAAGAAACAGGAAGGCATCAACAGGGTCAGGACATCAGATCTAAGGGCCTCACCACTCAGGCTCCTTTGCTGTGAAATGAGAACACCTGGTGTTTCTACCTTTCTGGATCTTTCAGGTACCCCAGGGATGGGAAGGAGAGGCTGCCAGGCCCAGACAATGCCTTGACCACAGCACGACTGTGATCTTTGATCTTTATAGTTGACATGATGGAATTAAGAATTGCCAGAGAACCAAGTCCCTGAGCACATCTGTGGGGGATTAGATTTAGACTAGGTTAACTGTGGTGGGGAAGGCTACCCTTAAAGTCAGCAGTGCTTTTCCATGTGCTGAGCCCCTGGACTGAATAGAAGAAAGCAAACTAACACCAGTATTCATTCCTTTCTACTTCCTAACTGTGGATACAATGGGACTGGCTGCCCTCTGCTCTTCCTCGTGTGCCTTCGCTGTCATAATGGGCTGTGCATACCCTTGAACTGTAAGTCCAAATGTTTCTTCAGCAAGTTACTGTTATCTAGGATTTTGTCACAGCAATAAGACAAGTCACTAACACAAGCAATGACTTTCAGCTGCTAAGAAGAACGTGGAGGATGCTATCCCATTAGTTGCATGCCCCAATGTGACTGGGAAGATTCCCCAGCTACCCCTAGGTGGTCAATGACTGACTAAGCTAGGTATGTGAAACCCAGCTCATGCCTCAGGAATTCGAAACACTATGGAGTGACTTTTGCTTGAAAGCACTGTTAGAGTTCAGCTCCAGTTTGACCACAAGTCAACTTGATGGAGGAAGTCTTCTGTGCATTTTTATCTTATTGGTTGTTGAATAAAGCACTGTTGGCCAATAGGGAAGAAAGATAGGTGGGACTAGGAGACAAGGAGAATTCTGGGAAAAGTAGTAAAGAGAAGTTGCCATGTGATCCAGGCAGGAAGTAACACAGCAGGCAGTAATAATATATAAGAACAAACAGGAAATCGTTCTCCTCTTCTCTCCTCTCCTCTCCTCTCCTCTCCTCTCCTCTCCTCTCCTCTCCTCTCTTCTCTTCTCTTCTCTGTGGAGAAGCTGAGCAGACATGATGTAGACCCCAATGGAGTAAAAAGCCAGGACCTTTTCTCCAGTAAGACAAGGCCACGAGAAATACACAGATTAGTAGTTATGGGTTAAGAATAAGAAGTCCAAGTCTCCAGCCAACAGCTTATAACTAATATAGCATCTGTGTGTTTCATTGGGGCAGAGAAGGGCAGTGGGACCTAACTAGGCCAAGAAACTTCTCATTGCATTGGCTTTCCACAGGCACAAGTCAACAGGAGATGCACCATTTTCAGAAGGAGAGCACCACACAGGAGTGATATTCCCTATGCCTCCAGAAACCTCTGTTTCCTTCTTACGATATTTCACTGATTGGATGGTACCCCATCCACACCATCCTTAATAACCTGAAAAGTCAACTGACTGCCAGTTCTAAATGTGCCTATAAAGTACACTCACAATTAAATAAAGGGGTACCAGAGCCTGCCCGAGGCACCCCACTTGCTTTGCTATCTCACAGTTTTGTGTTTTGCTTCTGAAGGCCAAACCTCATTAATTCTGAGTGTTCTGAACCCCTGTCTCAGGCTCCGATTTCATACTCACTGCTCAGAGACCACCACAGATGGATTGTAAGAACCCGAGGACACACATGCATGCTAGTGTCTGAATTGGATGGGGAGACTCCCATGACTTCTCAACAATATGGTTGCCTTCACAAGAACTGCCAAACCCACACCGGTTGACAATGCCAGCATGGACGAAAGGAAACGTGACAAGGCCCCACCCTAGGTGAAGAGCAGAAGAGCAACAGGCAGTCAATGACTGCTGCGGGAGAGAGAACAGGCTTGCCTTTTTTTAATGTTTGTTTGTTCGCTTGTTGTTTTTGGTGTGCGTGTATGTATGAGAGACGGGGGTGTCAATTTAGGTGGGGGCACACACAGGAGGAACTGGAGAGGGGAGGTGGGGATGAAACAAATACACTCTACTCGCGTGTGAAACCCTCAAATTAAAAAAATGAAGAAAAAAGAAAAAAAAAAGAATTATCCCCAATGGCCCACTAGTTTCTCAGCTCCTGACCACTAATCTTGTCTTGAGTGATTGATTAGATGATTTGGACAAACCAGTTAGCCCTATTGGGAGAGCAATTGCATTTTAATAAACAGCATTGAAAAGAAAAAGGGCTTCACCACCCGAAGGAGACTCATCGCTGCTGAGGATTGGCTTGGAGTCTTCCCATAGTGGGACAAAAGGGGGAGACACAATCCTTGGGCTGGATGTGTGGTCACTGAATTGCTCTGAAGACAAGGATAAGGCAGGCATAATGAAACCTCATCAGAAGCTCTCTGATGGGAAGGCTGTGGCGACCTCTGCCTACAGAGCCTTGAATTCTTGTTTAGAAGAAATCCACCTAGACAGGCACTGCCACTGTTCCAGTTACTTCCACACAGCTATGGCCAGAATGCTTGAGAGAACAACCTAAGGGAGGGAGGACTCGCTGTGGTTCTCTGGCTTAGCGATTCAGTCCGTCGCAGTATTGAGGGCCAGGGGGAGCAGCTGGCATCATGGTGGACAGGAAGCAGACAAAGGGGGAGGAGCAGAGTACGATGTAGCCCCTAAAGTCTGGTGGGTTGGAGCGCCCTGCTCTCAGTACTGCTGTCTGTATGAGAAAGCAGAGACAAGCTCATTCCATTTGGGGCGCGCTGTCCCAGTAAAGTCTCTCAAAAGACAAAGGAGTTTGACTCTGAGGGGATAGCTTCAAGAAGGCTGTCAGGAGCAAGGAGCACCCTAGCTAGCTTTAACTATGAAGCCAGTACGGACAGGCTGGCAGGACAGGTGTAGCTCCTAGTGCTTAGAGTGATATGGTATCTGAGAGGAGAAAGACACCCCTCTGGGGGGCCCTAGGTCTGGCTCCATGAACCCTCCCGCTGAGATCTGCTCCATCCACCCACCAGTCAGACCCAGTGACACAGCAAAGCCATCGTCTAGCTGGTGCGAGTTGGTGCTGAGGCCCAGCTTGGATTTACAGTGACACACATTGATTTTTGGCTCTTGGAGGGTGTCAGCTCACTGTAAATTAGAAGATTTATCTGCAGGAGCTGCAGAGATAAATGGCTTTGCACATAAATGCCTTTTCTTTTCTTTTTTAAACAAAGAGTGCATATGTACTGAGAATATTCCACGGGAGAGAATTTAGGAAATGCCTTATGACTTACTCTGAGCTACATCTGGGGACAACCAAGAGTGGCCTGAATGTATCCAGCTCTGGGGTTTCCAGCTCTTGCAGCTAAGCTCTTCTCCCTATTGTCAGCATTCAGGCATCTGCACTGGCCTGCCTTTGGGGTTCTGACAGGATGCACCCTCAGCTGTAGTCACTAAGAGCACCACCTGTGCATATTCTATGTTCCCTTTTAAAAGGGTCCTGCCCTCCTCCCATCCTTCTCTGTCTCCTTCTCCTTCCCTCCCTCCCTCCCTCGCTTTCTCTGTCTATTTCTCTCTCTGCCCCTCTTACCTCTCTCCAGCTGCTCCTGTCTCTGAAGGCCCGTCTCCCCCCTCCCCTTCACCCTTTTTACAATCCTTTCCCCTCTGCTTGAGCTCCGTTACATGGTGTCTTCCTTTATTGAGCCATTTTTCTTAAATTATACCTATCCCCTGCCTGCTGTGATCTAGCATAGGCTTTGTTAACCCATTGCATGTTTCTTTCCTTTAAAGGAACCACTGATTAACTTATCAAATCTGGACTGGTGATGCTGACCTCAGGGATAAGGGCTGTAGGCAGACAGAGGTGAACTTGTGGAGCTCAGACAATACCAGAGAAGATAACCTACATCAATGGTATGACATCAGGGATAATCCACGTGTGGAAGAATGTAAACAGACTGATGTAAAAAGATGCCGTCATGCTCAAAACTGCCCGAAGGAGGTAATCAGGGAAGACTTCTGGGACTGTAAAATCTAGTAGAGTGTTACCTGAGGACGACAGTGAGATGTTGCTGCAAGGGAGTGGGAGGAAGGCATTCTAAGTGAAAGACCCCAAGAGGGATACTTTCACGGAAGGGAGACCCGAACCCAAGGAACAACGAGACCACGAGCTTGGATGCAACAGCAAGAGGCTTTATTGATAATACACGGGTACCCGGGGCGTCTCAGTCTCGGGAACTGAGAGCCCCGAGCTGGGGACTCAGGGGTTCTTTTATAGCAAAAAGCGCAGTACAGAAGCGAGAAGCCTAGTAACAGGACCCTGATTGGGCAATTTAAATGAGGCTGGGACTCAGAACGAGGGCAATTGAGGTTTTGCTTGGAACTCAAGTCTCGGCCTTGGCCCTATCTGAGGAACAATAGGTCTCTGTGCTTGCCCAATCTTGCTGGGCTGGCCATCTGGTCGCAGCAGATACCCAGCAGCCTGTATCCTTGGGCAGAGCTCCCTTCTGATAGCAATGACTATTCAATTGTGGGGGAAACGGAATTTTCCATAAGCCTCAGCTGCCTGTTTAGACTGGGCCAGGGTCTTTCATAAGAATTCGGGGACGAAGCTGAAGCTTTGCAGAAACGGAAGTAAGGCAAAGATGGCTGAAGGCTAGCGAGAGACAGGAAATGAGAGAGGAGGAGAGAGTGGGGTTGGGTCCCCTGAGTCGGAGGAGGAGCTTAGATTTGGTCGTAAGCTTTATGGGAAGCCTTCAGGTGGTTTTAAGCAGAGGCGTACATGGATGGCTCTGGTGCTCCTGGGGATTAGATTAGAAGAGCCCACAGCAGAAGGGGAAGCATCTGGAGAGCTACCCCGTAACCACCGTAACCATCGGGGAAGATGTGAGGGTGGCTGCTGAAAGGCGGTGGAAGCGGCAGGAAGCAGACAGAAACCGAGCTTCCATCGGAAGGGCTGTCAATCCTAAATGCTGAGATACCCGGCAGCCACGCCTCCCCACCATAGCTTCTCAAGTTGCTGACAGCCACTGTCCTCAGACTGCTGGGCTCCCTGCCGTTTGTGGGTGAGCTTTCTGGGACCTGAGCTGCAGCCTTGGAGACCCTTTCTGTCAGGCACTGGATTTGCATCCACACATAATCCAGAAAGCTTCTCAGGAAAGAGTGACTCATGGCCCCGTGTGTCAAGTGAGCCCCTTGCTTAAAATTCTTCCCCCTCGGGGCCTTGTCCTTTCGTTTGGATACCTCCTTATCCTACCTCCTTTTATCATTTGGAAAAGGAGACTCTCCTCATGCTCTTCTGTGTGACATTCCTATTTAAAAGCTAGTGTGTTTTGATCCATGTGGGTCTGTTATTACTTTCATTACTTGGCAAAAGGATGTTAGATTTTAGACTGATTGGTCCCAAGGGAATTGACTGGCTTGGATACCAAAAAGACTGCTATTGTTCTGAGTTGAGGAAGGGCTGAATCACGGTTATATATAAAACGCTCCCCCACAGGCTCATGTGCTTGAACAAGTTGGTCCGCAGATGGTGGTCCTGATTTTGGATTTTGTGGAACCTATAGGAGGTGCCTAGACAGAAGAGGGGTGCCAGGATACAGACATTAAGAGCTATAGCCAAATCCCTCATTTGTCCAGTTGCTCTCTCTGTTTCTTAACCCCCCTCCCCAGATATGAGCAAGCAGTCTGAGACTCCTGCATGTGTGGGTCCTCCAGTTCAGCGGCAGCGTCTCCTGCTCTGGAGTCATGAACCAAAAAAGAACTACTTCCTCCCTCAAGTTTCTTTTCATCAGGCATTTTGGCACGGAAATGAGGTAAGTGACTGATTCAGAGTAGAGCATGCTGACATCGTGTGTGGTCTTCAAGGGCAGGCGCATTCCTCGTTGCTACCCTCATTCCCTTCTCCCCAAAGTGACAAACCCACCACATCCTTTCCGGTTATTCCTCCTGAGGACTACCAAGCATATCTAATACAACACTGTGGCGAGCACTGGTGGTTATCTCCGTGGTACCTGACCAGTTTGATCACTGGAGGAGGGTTCTTCTCTCCCAGCCCCTGGGGTGGGTGATGACCGGCTTGAGCCTGCACAGCAGCACACCATCGCCACAGAGACTGGTTGAGGACAGCCGATGAAACAGAAGAAGCCAGTCAACGGTCTTCCAGAAAGATTTTCTTCATCGATAGGAAGAGAAGTCAGTCAGCAGGCAACTTTCCTTTCCTCTCTAATGGACATCACGGATGCCTGGATCAGGGTGTCCTATCAGACGATGACTAGCTAATTGATCAAAATAAAGTGAAATGTCAAGGCAAAAATAAAGGAACCAAGTTAACTGACACTGGGCCATTCTAGGTCCAGGCTTCTTTTCTTATATGAAAGAAAAATGTTTTCTTTCCTATTGTAGATTTTGAACTCTGTCTTTTGCACCCCTAATCCTTCAGACAGGTCCTGTTTGGAGCTGTACCCACCAACACACAGCCTATTTCTAAGCCAGGCAGTCTCCAGCATGTCAGGCCAAACATGTCTGCTTCCACCAGGCAAGACCGGGAGAGTTAAATCAAATGTGTTTCCATTCAAAGGAACCACATTGATGAACCATGGGCAAGGGGACAAGATGATGGGGCTGGATGATCACTGTAGATGGAATCAGGGGAAAGAAATGGGTTATTCTTGAGTTGCGGCACTTTATGAAGGATCCATGAGAGGACAGGCAGATGTGAACTCTATAAATAGGCATGGGGTTGGGGAAGGCATCACCATCAGTATCAGGATAATAGTAAGATACACATGGGATTGTCAACAAAGAGAATTGTAGGGCATGGAGAAACCCCAAGAAAGTGTGATAGATGGAGACTGGCCACAGGGTGAATAGTTACTACTCTAAAGCCCAACAAAGTACAAGGAAGAGGTGGCACTGAGAGTCTTAATCTGGGAAAACAAAGAGAAGCATCAGTTCATGCCAGAGGAGAGGGTATCCCAGACCAGGAAAGGATTCCACCCATGTCCAGCCTGGTGAGTTTTGTGGCATAACCTATGATAGCATGAGTGACCGAAAGGCAGCTATATCACAAGGATTCCCTTGAGCAAACTCATCACAGGCCACCGGATGCTATGAGTTGGGATGTAAGCACTACGAACGAGCTCATGGTGCAGCCATACCCTGTAGGAAAGACTCTGGGGGATGTAGGTTCCTGGGCTCAGCATCAGCTCTCATTCACTCTGGGGAAGCCAAACCTCCAGTGTCATTTCTCAGGCATCTCGTGGGCCAGAACTAATCAGAACTATGTTGTCTATCATTTCATAGGCGTCCCATCAATTCCATCATCCAATTACCCGTCACAGTCACCTATCAGGCCAGATCCCTTTGTCCAGTTTCAGATAAGGAAATGTGATCCCAGACTAACAACGGTAAGTCGCTTGAAGCTTACATTCTGTTTCAGGCCCTTGGTAGGCACACTGTACTTCATGTTCACTAGTGCCTGGGTGATTACGAGTTAGGGCATGAGCAACAGACCAATCAGTTTACAGTGGTCAGTACCATGTGCCTGGAAGTAGGGACATTTCCCATATTTTCAATGGACAGATGAGTGGAGAGCTTTTACTCCAGCCCAGAGTCACCAGCTATAGAACTTGTGTAGAACTTGTGTTCTGACTACACTTTAGTTGCAGCAGCAGGGACTCACATCTGTGTTCTCAGATCCTAGGAAATGTGTCTACTCTCCCTGAAGCCTGGATAAAGATTCTGGCCAAAAATAATTCATGCTGTAGAGGAGGAGGTGAAAGGAAGCTCTGGTCAGCAGTTATGGGAAGACGTCAGAAAGTAAGGTCAGAGGCAGGCAGAGCTCAGAACACAGGGTCCTTCTCTTGCTCATCCCCATACAGGCCATGGTTCATGGAGGGGAACTGTGAAAATCTAGACAGGCATGAGAAATGCTCAGAACAATGAGACAAGCAGTCACCTCTCTAGAAGAAGCTCGGTGACATGAATCTCATGGCAGACTTCATCAAAATAGGACAGGAAATCTGACCCCAGCACTCTATATAGATCCCCACCTGCCTTGTCATCATAGACCATGAAGATACTGGAAACTGGCCTGGGAAAGGACAGGCTGGGAGGGGAGAAGCCTGAGGCTCACATATGTTACACTGAAGGGGCAGAATAAGTAGTGGAGAGATTCATTTAAACCACATAAAACAAGGTACTCTGTCCACTGACAACTCAGAAGTCCAATGGCTTGCACCTAGTAGGGTGTGGGCTAGAGAGGAGGTTAGAAGCCACAGAGCATGTTCCCTTACATATCTTGGTAGAGGTTCCATCCTGGTTTACAAAGCTAGTTCCAGGAGAGCCTCCAAAACAATACAGAGAAACCCTGTCTCGAAAAACCAAAAAAAAAAAAAAAAAAAAGCTACTGGCTGGCTGCTTTGCTTTTCTGATCTTCTGCTTGAACCCCAATATTTGCCTCTGGGCTTTCTTATGTGTACTACAGATGAGAGTTGTGAATGTACCTCTTGGTACAGAGGCAGTGAGACTGGAGGCTACATCTCAAGCTCTGGAAAACTTTAATGCCAGGCAGCAGGCAGCTCCAGGTAGAGGGACCTGCAAGAGGCAGGCACACAGAAGCCAAGGGGCAAAGCTTGTTCTTCAGGAACTGAGAAGAGCTGCAAGTAAGATGCAGGGCACGGAAAGGATGGGGAGGTGGCAAGGAGCGCCATTCTATCCCATCGGAGTGCAGGGCAGCTAAGAACCCAACACAGAGTGCCTGTCTTATCCCTGGAGATGATTAGGGGAAATGCCACTGCCATCCTCAGCCAAATGGGGCTTTTATTATCCCAGTGCAAAGAAGAGTCAGGAGCTGAATGGCGCCAAACTCAATGGCTGGGCTCCATGTGTGTTTTTGCAGCCGTCCATTAATATTCATGCTGTGACTAAATGACCCGGGGTTCAGCATCCTCCCACACTCCCTGCTTCCAGCACCTGGTCCCTACTGTGACCCCTTGGAGGGGTGCCCGCCTGTCCTTCTCTCCGCCTGGAACCAAAAGTGCCTGCCTGCCTCGTCACACAGCGCCTGACACGCTCATGACAGATACTGACACCCACATGAAGCGTTTCCTTCCACCCATCCAAAAATCAAATGAGCTACAATGTGGCGATTTATCCTCCCTCCCATTGTTCTCCTCAGGCTGGCCCTGCCTCCCGGGGAAGAGGGACAGCTGCAGCCATCCCCTGGGAATCAGAGAGATGGGCTCCTGCCCTGCCTTGTCATCTCCCCAAGACAGCTTTCAGTGGCGCCCAGGTGCTGTGACGTGCAGGGTGTGGTAAGAACAATGGAGGCATGTGTGCTGCTCCCGTCCTCCAGTTCCTGTTCTAAGGACACTTGGTCCCAGTAAAATCTGGGCACACTTCCCATCCTTTGGGTGAAAAGAGGTACGGCACATACACCTTGTCTTCTCGGTTGCATTCTTCTCCAATGGCACGCTGGCACGCTGGCATCCTGGCACCCTGGCGTGGTGGTGGCCATGTGGTCCCCATGGGGCAGAGGACAGAGACCTGGTCTCTGGCCCCACTCTCCAGCGGATAAGGTGGCTCAGCCTAAGGGAAGCCTCTCTTCTCGTTCCACACTCCTTCTACGGCAGGACTTAAAAACTCAGAGCAGCATGCACCTTACAAAGCTCAGGCCACAGGGTGGTGAGTTGGGCGTGCTACTGAAGGCATCATGAGAGGTCAGGGATTACAAGTGAGCATCACTGGGTCTCACAAATTATTTTAGTGCCTTCATCTTTTCCCTATTTACCTTCATGCTTTTTAGTTTCCATCCAACACAGATGTATATATGGAGCAGTAGGATAGGTGCTGGGCCAGCTTGAGCAGTGACCCAAACAGAGCCCGCTTGGTTCATACAGTCTAGACAGGGGACAGCTACACTCTAGAGAGACAGGTGAAAAGGTGAGGGTAGAGGCAAACATTGATGGAGATGGAGGCAGCAAAAGGTGGCAGCATTGCTCTTTTGCTACAGGGTGATGGGAGATAACCTGTGGTAGAAGAGGGTCTCCGGGAGCGAGACAACCTCAGGATCCTGTGCTCCTCAGGGAGAGGGGAGCCATGGGACAATGCTGGGTGGAGACGCCATCTCACCTGGTTGGGCTGCTGCGCTGACATCACTGACAAAGGAAAAGGCAAAAACGGGGAAGCCTGCCAGCTAAGGGAGTAGCACTAAGGGAATAGCCCGGTGATGCTGGCCGTGGGTGTGGCTGGCATCAGTGTAGATGCATTGGTACCTCTGCAGCGTTTGCTAAGGGCTGAGTGGTGGGGACCACAGACTCTGTCGCTGAACAGAACCATGGTCTCCTATCTTATGGAAGAATAGTAGCCCAGCTCACCACCTGTGGCTCATTCCCACTGACGAGACAAGGGGACCAACGCCTTGATCCTGGTGAAGGTGATAAGCTTGGGCATGGGTGAGATGTTATTTCATTCCTCCCAGAGGAGAACGTGAAGAAGAGAGGGATGTTAAACCTTCCCGTCCTGAGCTTGCTGTGGGCAGCAGTCAGCCAGCCCTGGAGTACGACCCATTTCACGGACCAGGCATATGGACAAGCTAGACAACTCCAGTTGGCAGGTGCCACAGCTCCAGAGCTCTGGCAGTGGCGAAGGCACACCCGAACCAGGGCTGCTGAACTCCTGACCACTTCCTCTCTCATTTTCCCGTTTTTGGCCTTCTGTAGAAGGGCCTGTCCACCACCGGTCAGCAGCCTCAGCTTTCCCAGGGGAACAAACAGTCCCCTCTCCTCTTCCTTCTTTCTTCTTCTTCCCTCAGGTTCGAGTCTTGAGGAGGAATGACTGAATGAAAAGCCATACGGATAAGTAAACTAGTAATAAACTGTGGTTAATGCATTGAAGACAAACCCACCCAGCTTACAAAGGACAGAATTCTAGAGAACTTTGTGTGTCCTTCTTTATCCTTTCGTTGATTTTCTGAGTTGCCTACAACTTCCAGGAGAAAGGATCTGCCATGATGCTGCTTGGTGGTGAGTTCGGATGGACACAGACAGGAGTAAACCACAGCCCTCCCAGCAAGCTGTGCGGCTCCCAGGAGTCACAGGAACAGGACATTCGTGGGGGATAATTAAGACATAATCCAGCATTGCGAGGAGAATTAAAACGTGTTCCAATTTTCAAAGTGTGCAGATCTCAGGCTTCTGCATTTGGAACGTTTCAAAGCTTGCCTGGAATCTATCTTCATTTGGTACCCACGCTCTGGAGAAAGATGATAAACAGGCCTGCAGCGAGACAGTCAATTAACAAGCCAGGGTTTGCAGAGACCGGGCAGGCTTCTCC